AAGCATCCACAGCGGAACTGCAGAAGCGCAAAAGCAATGCCCCGCAATGTTTTACAAGTAAAAAAGGAAGGGCACTGATGGAAAAAAACAATAAAGAATGATCAGGTTAGTGATGGGTGGCGAGGCTTGTCAAGTTGAACCAGCAAGCTGGATCCGACCTGGCCATATTTGGCTGCCGTCAAGCCTCACTGAATTGGAGAACGTCATGAAACGTCGAAAGCAAAATACAAAAAAAAAGAACGTTCTGTTTGCTATGCCTTCCACTGTTCTGTTCCTTCTGGGCTTATCAGAACTACTTGCAAATGTTTGTTCCATTCAATTTTTAGGCTTCTGGACGTTCTTTGTGACCGAAAAAGGGTCTTGTGCCTTGATACAATTCTCCACTCTCAGCACCGAGCTCACAGCGGCTGTTCCCAGATCAATACCGCTTTGAAAAAAAGGAGCGTCGGCAGGGAGTGCGTCCAAAGTCTGCTTCAAGCACTCTCACAGCGACATTAGGTAGCCTGCTTTGCAGTAAGTCCCGAAAGCCTAGAGGCAATTCTGGCAGATCCGGCCTTGTGACGACTCCAGATTCACTAAGTAAACCCTGCAAGCTCCTCAAGCTGGGGTAGCATGGCCACAGCACTGCTACTCGTCGCAATCCTAGCACGCAATATTGAAGCTTCACAAAGTTCTGCTACTTTCTTCAACCCACAAATATCCGCCAGCCCCAGCTTAGCCAAGCCTAAGCCGGGCACCGCCCACGGAACCCTCGATTGCGAAGCTGCCGTCGAAGCTGCCGTCTGGGACTCTCTCCTGCTGCCTTTGCGTGCAGAACAACATGGGCTTGGTCTGTGGCGGAGGGCGCCTTCCACACCTCTGGCGTTTGCCAACCTTTCTGACCGCTTTTGGGCGCAGAAATTGATAGGCTAAGGGCGTGGCGGAGAGGCGCCAGCCTTACCTCTATCCAGGGCTTGGCATACCTTTTTTTCGGGTTTCGAAACTGCAAAGTTGCGACCCTGTCTGACCGCTTTTGGGAACAGAAATCGATTGGCGAAGGGCGTGGCGAAGGCGCCTTCCGCAGCATCTACGGGGGGCACTTGCGATGTTTGCTGGCACGTTTTCCCACCAGGGTTTAAAACTGGTGGCAACACACGCGGCGGTTGTCAAGGTGGCCAGTGCACACCGTGAGGGATTATTGAAAGTGATATAGACTATTTGTATATAGATGTTTGATGATGTTTGGCTCTTCAAAAACATGCAAGGTGCAGTTTCCTGAGTGGCAGCGGATGACAGTGTGGCAGCCAGCCAATGCAAACGAACTGCATTAGCTTGTGATTCCAAAGATTCGCTCGTCCACCATATGGCGCTGGACGTGATCAACAATCTTCTAAACGTAAGAGCGTGTCATTGTTTCTCTGGAGAGGCCTACAAGGAAGTACTCCAAAAACTGCAGCGTCAAGGCTGCCACAATGAAGTGGCAGACTTGGAGGTTAGATGATCTTGCATTGCAAGAAAAATTGCGGCTGCCAGTGGTTGGGAGCATTCGGGATCCCATAGAGTTTGAGCATGTGGACTTGTTATGAAACCATGGTTCCTGATTGCGGTTCCTTGCTACATGCTTATATAGTTCCTATGGAACTGGTCGCCAGGGCCCAGTTACCCATCTTGGGAAAGGTAGCCCAAAAATAGGGGTCGGCGGCACCCGGGCAATAGCCCATTCCGTATATATTCATAAATAACTCATCACTCATCACATCTACAAATCGAGAATGCCGCCTTCAACAAAAGCCACGAGTCGTTTCAATCGCTGCATCTGCAAAGCTGTTGATCTGAGTCCGGCTGAGCCCCATGCTGTTGCGATTCATGCGTTCCCATGTCAGGCCAGGCCTGAAGAACGTTGGATTGATATTAATCAGATTTATCGGGCAATATCTGCGCAAGCTGGTCCGGCAAACAAACTTGCAAGCTGTTCACCGAACCTAAAACTTTCAACAATTACAGCCCTCACAACGCGGATTATTAACGTTCTAAACTGAAAACCAACGACTCTCTGCAACAGCAAGGATGAAATTAAAGGAACTGCGCGGCGTTAAGTCTGTGAAAAAAATGCTCAAAGCTTCGTACTCGTGCCTCGCTAGTAGTAACAAGTGCCACGCTAGTAGTAACAGGTGCCTTACTAGTAGTAACAAGAAGCTACTAGTAACAAGTGCTTTGCTACTAGTAACAAAAAGAATTTAATTAGAATAGTCTGTTTGCCTTCTTTCGAACTACAAATCCGGACCTTCTCCTCTGGACGATATGAGATGCGACCAGGCGTGCGAAGCAAGGAGCCGCCAGAGCACCTGGTCAGATCGACGCAGCCAAGGTGTTGATGGTTGGCTCATACACCATCCTTGATACGGCAACTCTGTTGGCTATGGTCGTACCCTAAATCGTGCACAAGGTCTGAAGTCTGTATTACTCTTTTGCATATGTTGAGAGGTGAAGAGCTTTCGTCTTCACACATGTGTGGCAAGTCTCACGTCTCACAACACCTCACAGACTCCTTTTGCTCCTGGCTGAGTGCAAGGCTGCATTCCAAAACCCTCAGGCGGGGCCACTGGCAGGGAAGGTTGTGCCATCTTCAAATGAATGAGGTGTTTGCAACATCAAAACAGAAAACCAATCAGAAGATGAATCGTGACTGGTGTGGCTGGCTTTCACTCTGTACTCATGACAAAACGTCCCTTTCTTTCTTGATCGGAAATGGCTTCCGGCCAAATCCGTGGCATGGCAAAGGATCCATGTTTCACCTAACGCCGAAGGCCAGAAGGTAAGGATGGCGAGCCGAAGGAAGGGTGCCTTGTCATTGACGATTCGACTTCAAAATTCCGAGGTGGGCCGGGCATCTCCTTTTTGTCCGACACACATCCGAGATGCCCAGCTGTACTCGGCGCTGTTGCTCTCGACGGTCGAAGACCGCCAAAAGTGTCCAAAAGGTGGCTTTGTACAAGATGCTCTTTGGCACACTGATGTTGATAAGATTACTATATAATGATGTAAACAATATTGCAAAAGTAATGATGAAACTTGATGAATATTTCACATCAGCTAAGGCTTTCATTCACTTGAATGCTGGTATCCCGGTCAGTGCACGACCTGCATTGAAATTCACTGGCCAGTAAAACATACAAAGAAACCCTCATGCCTAGAACCAGAGAGTGGATGTCAGCAGTTCCCTCATAGGTGTTGACGGCCTGTCAACTCCCAGCGTTCCATGTTCCACAGAGTTTCGCAAGTTTCACTCTGCGGCCTCGAGGTTGCACACGTGGCGAATGATGTTGTACTCATCAACAATGCCATTGCCTGTAGCAAAACACACCCTGTCAGCCTCACCTGCTATTTGTGCGATGGATCTCCTCCCAGCATGTCCCGACACTGTCGCGCGATCTCCAGGGCCTGGCAGGGTCACTGTGTGCCAAAAAAGGGCACTTTGGAAGACTATTAGTGATGGCCAACCTAATACTTTGGAACCGAGGGCGAGAGAGAGAGAGAGAGACCCGTAAGAACCACTGGGCCTTAGTGGGTGATAACTCCCCAAAGGGTCGTCCCCCCTCGTCCCCCTTTCAATACAAATCCCGACTACTCATCTCTCATCTCAAGAGCTGTGAGCACGGCACTGATGCACCTTGCTGCAGGAGTTGCGCTTCATCATGGAAATGACGTTGGAGTGCAAGTCACCAGACTGAAGAACACTGCAAGTGCTGCTCTCTCAAAGCCTGATTCCATGACATTTCAGCTCCAAGTGGGGTGCCTCTTTCATGCGGGTGGCCTGGAGAACTGCATTTAAACCAATCGTGATCTCCTCAGTGAGGCCGCCAAGTCTAAGGCGACCCAGCAGCTACAGCTGCCCTCATGCTTGTTTGCTTCGACAATGGTAACATTGACTCTGTATGACCAAGGCACTGTCAACGCATTGGCCATTTTGAACTGAATCTGCGCAGACGAAACGCAACTGGTCGACACAAGGTCAAAGATAATGTTTTGAAAGTGTTGAGGTGTACGGTGTGCATCTGTTGTGTGGTCTGCCGATTGACTGTGTGCTCGAGGCTATTTTGGAATGACAAGACTCGCCGTCTTTGACACTCTTCTGGCACTTGGCACTTTGGCTTTACAAACTTTACACCTGCAAATGTTCACTTCACAGTCTTCTCACTTTCTGAAGTGCTTCATTAAGGCCCTGTGAGGCCAAATCAGGATTGCAAGTCGCTGCAAGTCTCTTGCAGACTGAGCGCAGACGACTTCAGCTGCACTACGTTGCCAGTGTCCTCTGCAGTTTGTCACTTCATAAACCTGTTTAGACGAAGAAATGGACCTGCTCTGAGATTGTTGCTAATTAATGCTACGTCCAAACTGATAGACACAAAACGGGCACTAAACACTAGTCTGTACAGTCAGTGCCCTGCGTCATTTAAAACGTCATGGACAAAATTCTATCGTCTGCGGTTTCAAGTGCTCTTGCATTCCCACCAAACCTCGCCAATGAGGGTAAACAGCAAGTTCCCACACTGCAATTGCCCTGCCTTCTGTACCTTCTACAATACAAACAGTAGACAGCTAAACCCAGCACAAATGATACACATTGTGGAGGCCATTGCTCTTAGGTTGGAGGCCATCGCTAGTCGGTTGGAGGCCATCACTCTTAGGTTGGAGGCCATGGCTCTTAACTTAGGTTGGAGGCCATCGCCAGTAGGTTGGAGGCCATCGCTAGTAGGTTGGAGGCCATCACCAGTAGGTTGGAGGCCATCTCTATTGGGTTGGAGGCCATTGCTATTGGGTGCTGTTTTGCTCTTTTTATTCCGGATCCACATCTCCCCACTTCACGAATCCTGCGTGCAAGATACTCACATTGCCATATGCATCACATACCCGATGTCCCTGCAAACAGGTCAGTCACCAACGCAAAAAATGCCAGGAATGTCCGTTTCAGACCAAAAAGATCACCACCCTTTTTCGGTCCTGAAGATGCGAGCACCCTTTCAGATCGATGCGATACCCCTCATCTCCGACTCATCTTGGCGACCCTGGTAGGATGCAAACTGCTCTGGTGACAAACTGTGCAGATCCCTCCCCGCCTTGTCAGGCTTCTTGTAGTCTTGAGGAACAGGCGTCTGTTCAATCTGCAACATGATCTGGGCAAGGGCTTGTGGGTAGAGCAGCAGGGCAGCCCAGAAATCCTCCATGCCAGAGCCTTCAATGGAGTAGAGACGTCGAATCTGATGGCGGCCCAAAGCCACAAATCCAGCCATGGAAATGTAGCAAATCCAACCGAAAGACCACAGTCCACGTCCCTCGATGCGCAGCTGCTCTCCCTCATATACGGCGGCAGCAATGTGGAGGGCAACGAAAGCGGTAAAGAGCAGCTGGGTCATCTTAGCCAAGATCATTCTCACCACCATGGGCATTGGTTTCTGCTCATGGGATGCTAGACCGTTCAGTGCCTTGAAGAGAGCATACCCCGGAAAGAGTAGGGCAGTGAAGAAAGCACAAATGCTTTTCTTGGAGGGCATAGGACATCGTCCACAGGTCAGAAGAAACTCCGGGAAATCAACGACCCCACCGTACAAAGGCAAAGCCCAATCTGTTCGCCGGTTGATTGGTGGCATGTCTCCCGCTTCAAGCTTGAGTGCACGCCACAATGACGTGCACATGACCATGAGGATGAATGTGAAAGGCAAGCCCATCACGATGGAAACTGCCTGCAGCCCGGTCAGAGAGGAAAAACCTCCCGATGCAACCGTTGCAATTGCCACAGCACCCTCTGTCAAGGCCCAGAATACTCGCTGCACCACATGCGCCTCCCGACCGTTCGCAGCAATCAAATCCACGACAAGGGAGCCACTGTCAGATGAAGTGATGAAGTACAACACCGTCGTCACAATGGACACGAAAGTCAGGAATTGACCCATGCCGTAGTACTGACTCATCAGGTCAAACCAGTAGCCATTGCTGTCACCACTGGCAAAGTTGCAGACGGGGCTCACATATGGATTCACTTCATATCCTGTGATGCTCGGAAGACTTGCAGGCACATCATAGCATTTGCCAGCACTGGCTGGACGGAAGGTGAGGTCAGTGTGCAAGAAGTAGTCCCTGTTGTTGTGAAGCTCGCTTCCAAGTTCAGCCAACCATGTTGCGCGTCGATCCATGCGAATGGCAGCTGCCCCGAAGGTGCAAAACCAAATGAAAGCATAGCCACAAGGAATGGTGAGTGTGTACAAAACAACCTGACGGATCGTGCGACCACGGGAGACACGGGCCATGAAAGTTCCCACAAATGGTGCCCAAGCAATCCACCAACCCCAGTAGAAGATGGTCCACCAATCCATCCAGGCAGGATTTGCGCCCTTTCCGTCATTCGGCTGGCCATTTCCGACACCCAACTGGGCAAAGGCATCTGTGTCAAAGGCTGTCTCCAAAAAGTTTTGTAGGTGGAATCCGATCGTGGCCACGAAGACATTCAGGATATACCAAGGCTCATCAAGGCAGAAGACCACCAAGATCAAGAAGTTTCCAAGCATAAATGCTACGTACGAAACAGACTTGATTCCGAACTCCAAACCTGCCACAACAGATGCAGTGGCGCACAGAGTGATGATTCCAATGATCCAGCATGCTGCATTTGTGAGCTCGCTATCAGTCAAGGTTCCACTCAGCCAGCCCAAACGTTGGCAGCCGGAAACAATCTGTCGAGCTCCCAGACCAAGGGAAGTTGTCAATCCGGCCACAATGGTGACGATCGTTACAATGTCCAGCAGATCACCAATCCAACCCCAAGTTGCCTTTCCCAGCACAGGAGCAAGTGTGGTACGGAAACAAAGGGGCAACCCCCTCCTGTACGCCAAAAAGCCCATAGTGAGAGCTGTCAAGCAGTACACAATCCACGCCATGAAACCCCAGTGGAACATTGTGAGGTGCAACCCATACAATGCCTTCTGGTTGTCGTTGGAGTACCCATCATTGTTATGGCCTTGTGTTCAAGTTGCTGATCTTCAGTGTCTTGATTCCACCAAGCACTCTGAGCAGAAGTAGAAAAACGTGCTCAACATATTCTAGGCGCGATTGTTACCATCCGTCGCATGTATCAAAGGCTCAGATGCTCCGTAGAAGATGAGTCCAATTGCAACTCCAGCACACCAAACCATGGCCAAGTATGTCAAGTCACCATATTCTGGCTCCTCATCATCCTGGCGCTTTGAACATGGTGCAACTGCTCAACTCGATACAGGGAAAAATCAACCGTCTTCTGCCCACACGTTCAAGCCGACGGTCCTTTCCAAGTTTCATGTCGCCATAGTAGTAAACCAAGGGAAAAAGGTAGAGCAGCCAATAGTCCTGGTCCATGGTGTGATAGGGGCTCTTGTTGCTGTATTCAGCAGTCATAATTTCAATCGACTGTCCTACTTTCCGTATCAAATCAAATTTGCCAAACCTTCTGTGACTCCAACACTGACGCTTCATCTCTTCTGACAGATTCGGATTCTCCTGGGAACCAATGTAAAGCCACGTGAAAGTACTTGTGACCCAGTTCTTCCACTCGCCAAACACCGCATCCGACTCGGGATCCAAAACGGCATAGAGGACAAAGCACCATAGACACACAGCCGAGAAGAAGGACACGAATGGATTGAACCGAATGGAGCCTCGTCACAAATGTATGGATCGGGACACTCCAAAACTACCTGCCAAGAATGCATTTTCACAGCAGCATTCTTGTCACTAGTATGGCGTAGTGCCGTCCAAAACCTACGAGTAAACTGTAAACTCGTCAAATAGCATTCCTGTTGCTGAGGATGATTGAACGGCCTCCGAATGCACAATGATAAGGCGATAAGGCTTTAATCTATGAGTGTGTGTGTGTGTGTGTGCGTCAAACAATACAAAAATACAAGTGCACAGTGCATGTTTGGCCGTTCTTGCACTGCAACAGATGCAGGTTCCTTTCACATGTTTGGCCAAGCAACAAAAGTTCACCTCTCTGGTTCCTTGTGGTCCTGAGCCATATCCTTTCTCATATTCTTCCGCCTGCATGAGCTTTCTTGTTTCTTGTAGCGATGCCCTTTTGTTCCCGGTAGCTTCTTGTTCCTAGTAGTAAGGCCAGGAACCCCTAGTGGCGTCCTTGCTCCTAGTAGCGATGCCAGGAGCCCCTAGTAGCTTCATATTCTTCTGCATGAGCTTTGTATATTGTCTTGCAACCTACATGATGCAAGACCACAGTTTATGTTTCACCCAAAGCAATAGTGCCTCCACCATGGCAGCGACACGCTAGCAGCACCACACAAAGACTCCAACCAAAATTCAGAGATTCCGCGGATAAATCATGCGAAAATGCAAACTGCTGACGGCATAAAGGAGAAGTCTGACACTTTACAAACCTTGAGAGCAGTTCTGGCCAGCACACGTATTGCTTTCTTCGAACTAGAAGCTCACCACTTTGACAGTCGCAGCATTCAGGCACCCAGCCGCTTTTGCAGCCACACAATGCCGATCTTCTTGAAAGCATCAGCCCAAAGTCTCGAGAAGTCTCGTTTGCATCTCTACTAGCCCTTTGTTCCTAGTCCTTTTGTTCCTAGTAGCGCTTCTTGCTACTAGTAGCGATGCCCTTT